ATTTTTTATTTATTTTAGAGATGAGGTCTCGTCAAGTTGCCCAGGCGGGTCTCGAACCCGTGGGCTCAGGCAGTGCACTCACCTCAGCCTCCCAAGGTGTGGGATTACAGGCTGAGCCACCGAGCCCGGCAGATCTGACTTTTAGAACAAACCTGGCTTTCAACTCCTGGTCTTTTCCAGCAAAGCTTCTTAGAGTTGGGTCTGAGACCTTTTGATGTAGGCTTCCGTCGGTGACTTCCCCATCCCCTGCCTGTCTCTTGCCCTGAAGCATCGTTCCAGGGTCAGAATGGGGAGGGTGGGGGGACCTCCCGACATCCAGTCCAGGGAGGGCTTCCAAAACAAAAGGTGTCTGGTGCCACCTTCAGCCAGACACAGGCACATTCGGTGGACCAGGCCTGGCAGGGCTTAGGCCCGCTGAGGACATGTTCCCAGGCAAGGACTGCAGGCGGCAAGAGCGGGTCCCCAAGACCACCAGAGGCCACCTCTGCCCCGCTTGGGAGCAACCATCTCCTGAAAACTGCCTCCAGAGTCTTCCAGAAAGTTTTCGTCTTGACATCAAAATGTCATTTATTCCCGGAGGGATGCTCAACCAGGCTGAGCCCTGAATGAGCTATCTGGCACCTGGCGTGGGTGTCTACACCTGTTAGGACTTGACTGGTTTGGTTTTAAAGTTATTTGGAGACACTCTTCTTTCTCAGGTAATATCAGCTTGCTTGCATCTCCTGTGGCATCGAAACTCTCCGCTGCTTTCCCAAAAAGTCTCTCTTTCTGGTATGAATTCTGATAGGATGGAGTCCAAAAGGACACAGGTTCGGGTTGGAGGAATGTTTCTGGTCTGGAATTCTAATTCCAATGACTCTGCCCAGGGTCACGGCTGATCTGTGGAACCCTTGCTTTGAGTTGAGGATTCTTGCAGTGTTGCTTTGAAACATATGGATGTAAATGTGCGATATTAGCCGGGTTCGGTGGCTCAGCCTGTAATCCCGCGCCTTTGGGAAGCTGAGGTGAGTGGATTGCCTGAGCCCGCAGGTTCGAGACCCGTCTGGGCAGCAAGATCTCATCTCTACAATAAATCAAAAAAATCAGCCGGGTGTGGTAGCACATGCCTGTAATTCCGGCTACTTGGAAGGCTGAGGAGGAAGGATTGCCAGAGCCCAGCAGGTCGAGGTTGCGGTGGCCGGGAGTGGCCACTGCACTCCAGTCTGGGCAACAGAGTGAGACTCCAACTCAAAAAAAAAAAAATGTGCGATATTTTATTTTCAACTTTCATGACAGTTCAGCATAAAAAAAAAACAAGACTTGGTGAGAAGAGTGAGAAGCCATCTTAAGAGGCCAAGGAGCCCTTTGGACAGTATCACATTGAAGTTACTCTAAACAGAAACACAGGCTGGGTGCAGTGGCTCATGCCCGTAATCCCAGCACTTTAGGAGGCTGCAGTGGGGGGATGGCTTGAGACTAGCATGGGCAACATAACAAGACCTTGTCTCTACAAAAAAAATTAGAAAATTAGCCAGGCATGGTAGCATTCACCTGTAGTCTCAAGCTACTTGGGAGGCTGAGGCGGGAGGATCGCCTGAGCCCAGGTCTAGGATGTGATGCGCTTCGATCACGTCACTGTACTCCAGCCCGGGCAACAGAGTAAGACCCCGACTCAAAACAAAAAACAAAAACCCAGAAACACATTTGTCTTCTAGAGAGCCTCCCAGCCTCCTGGCTTCATCCTACCTGGATCTTCTCTGAATTCAGGAGTGCTTGTTCATTTGCTTTTCTAAGGGAACAAGAAGAGGTCCTGAGAGGGCTGGGTGGGTTGGGGTTGTCCGGGGATAAACACCCCGGGACCTTTTCTCCACCCTTTCTTTCTTCTGCCTCACATTTCAGCCCGCCCCCCTGAGTACTGATCTAAACAATTCAGGAGTCCCCAACACTTGCTTAAAGTTACCTACCAGCCTTAGAAGAATTTCTGAAAAGTTTGGTGTCAATCAGTTTTTGTTTTTATTTTTTTTAATGCGTGGGCTAAGTTACCCTCTATTTAAAGTAGGAATGAATGAATCCTCGGGCGAAAAGGAAGCTCTTGGGAGCATGCGTAAGCACACACCATATGCTGTCTAAATTAGGTTTTCTAAAATTAGGCTTTCCTAAAAGAAGGACACATGGCAGGTGGTGGTAGGCCAGGAGGACTGAATTCGGGAAGTCTTATTTCACAAGCCAGTTTCCCGAGAGTTTTGAGAAGCTTGTGGCAGCAGTTAGGTACTTCCCACTGTGCAGCACCCAGGCCTGGAGCCCAGGGCCCCTGCCAGGCCCCCTTTGCTCATTGGGACACATCTGCACCCTGTGTCACCGTGAAAAAGAGCAAAATCACTCTAAACTTTGCATTCAATTAGGTGCAGCATTGCCTCTCCACCTGGGAGTCACACTGCATAATGCCAGATGATCTGCATTTTAAGTCATGCCTTGAATAAGAATACTCCGGTGCAGAGGGGTCCGTGTAGGACCGTGGAGACCCATAGACTTACTGCAGAGATGAGCCCTAGAAATTGGGACAGGTGAGGCTGCCAACCCCTGGTAAGGCGGATACACACTCCTGAGCACCGCAGAGGCGCCCCTCAAGGCTTGTGACAACCTCTAGGCATGAATCACACCGCCAGACTTCAGAAGAAAAAAGCAAGAAGACTTCTGTCTCTCATGAGCAAAGAGCCATGTTCTTCCTTAATCTGTTCAACAGAACACTCTAATACCCCCTTCAAGCATCAGGCCAAGAATTATTCTTTAACTGTACTCCCTGTTTGTTCCTGGGGATCTTGACAGAGGGTTAGAAACCAGGGAATTAGAAGGTAAGAGCGTTTTCAGCATGAACCACTTCAGCCGGAGTTAGAGCCACCGGGCGATTTCATTCTCATTGTAGCCTGATGTTTTCTATAGCAGGGCTTTTCAACAGCAGTAAAACAGGTGAGGCACCAGTCAGGGCCAGATAATGTTTTATTGTGAGAGCTCTTCTATGCATTGTGGGGTGTCTGGCCTCTACCCACTAAATACCAGTAGCTCCGCCCCTAATTGCTACAGTCAAAAATGTATCCACACATTGCTAAATGTTCCGTAGGACACAAAATCTCTCTCTCACACACACACACACACACACACACACACACACACACACACACACACAAATGCACGCACCCTTTAAAGATTCACTGTTCTGGCGGGGTGCAGTGGTTCATACCTGTAATCCCAGCACTTTGGGAGGCCGAGGTGGGAGGATTGCTTGAACCCAGGAGTTAGAGACCAGCCTGGGCAACATAGCAAGACCTTGTCTCCACAAAAATAAAAAAATAATCACCAGGCTTGGTGGCTCAGCCTGTAATCCTGCGCCTTGGGAGGCTGAGGTGAGTGAATTGCCTGAGCCCGCGGGTTCGAGACCCGCCTGGGCAACTTGGTGAGACCTCATCTCTAAAACAAATCAAAAAATTAGCCGGGCGTGGTAGTGCACGCCTGTAGTTCCAGCTACTTGGAAGGCTGAGGCGGAAGGATTGCCGGAGTCCAGCAGGTTGAGGCTGCAGTGACCGGGAGCGGCCACTGCACTCCAGTCTGGGCGACAGAGTGAGACTCCACCTCAAAAAATAAATTAATTAATTAATTAAAAAATAAGCTGGGCATGGTGATGTGTGCCTGTAGTGAGGGGGAGGATTGCCTGAACCCAGGAGGTCGATCGTGGAGACCCGTGATCGTGCCACTGCGCTCCAGCTGGAGCGACACAGTAAGTCCCCTGACTCAAAAAAATAAAAAAAAGAATCATTGTTCTATTTTATATGCAGTACAAAACAAATTTTTTCCTAAATTAGTTGTGCATTTTAAATAGGTCCTAAGGGCTGGGCTCAGTGGCTCAGCCTGTAATCCCAGCACTTTGGGAGGCCGAGGTGAGTGGATTGCCCGAGCCCGCAGGTTCGAGACCCACCTGGGCAACTTGGCGAGACCTCATCTCTACAATAAATCAAAAGTTAACTGGGCGTGGTAGCGCGCACCTGTAGTTCCAGCTACTCGGAAGGCTGAGGCGGAAGGATCGCCGGAACCCAGCAGGTCGAGGCTGCGGTGGCCATGAGGGTGCCAGTGTACTCTAGCCTGGGGGACTTCAACTCAAAAATAATAATAATATTTACCTGACCTGTTCACTCAATAACAGGCCATTCATTCTGCACGTTCATTCATTCATGCGACGTTACTTAGTGAGCTCTCACCACATGCCTTGGTGGTGACTAGATACCATCTCTTTACTGGAATACCCACGTTTGATAACACATTCACCTGTCTTGGCTAGTTGCGATGAGGGCTGACATCTTTGGGAGGCAGAACTGCACCCCACATGCAGGAACGTGATCCCTAGGATCAGATGGACCCAGATTCAAATGCTGCCTCTGCCACTTACAAGCCAGGTAGCTTGGACTAATTATTGACATTGTGTGCCAAAGTTTCCCCATATGAGATATTTCATCTACCTGGCAGAGTTTTGCAAGGCCTTAGTGCAATCATGCGTGTCAGACATCCATCAGTGGTACCTTATTTTCCGCCATCCGACAGGTTGTAATGTTGCCCTCTTTGTAGGTCAAAAACCGCCGAATGTTGGGAACTTCCTACAGTTCAACCTAATAGATAAAACCCAGGCTCCTCAATCTGTGTTCTATTCTCAGCTCCGTGGAGGTCCGGCAAATAAACAGAACAGTTCCGCCTTGTTATTTTCCAAGATTCCCACCTGCTGTCTGAGGAGGCAGCCTGCCCGTCCAGGGTAACGGACTTCAGAGGGGACAGAGGCAGTCTGCCGTGCCAGCATTTACAGCCAGCACATATCTGATGAAGCTCGTACTATACGAAATTGCGGGCTTCCAACCTTCCAGCCAATTTGCGTGGAAAGAAGCTGGATTGTAGCAGTTCCTCAGTTCAGGCCTGCCAGGGGTTGGGGGGTGTCTGATGTGTGTGCCGTTGTTTGTTCCCTGGGTGCCCGTCTCGGGCAGGCATCTCTGATGTCTCTGTGTTTGTGTCTCAGGTCACCCTGCTGATCGCCTTCATCTGCGTCCGGAGCTCTCGGGTGAGCGACTACAGCGCCTTCAGCTACTTCGAAGTGGTCACCATTTGCAACTTGATCATGATCCTCGCCTTTTACCTGGTCCACCTCTTCCGCTTCTACCGTGTGCTCACCTGTATCAGCTGGACCCTGTCGGTAAGAGAGGGACCTGGCCCCGTCCCCCGCAGGCGGAAGTCTGGCTGTGAGCTGACGCCCTGGGACAGGACAGAGCCCTTCCCCTCCGCCCATCCCACCTCTAACCGTCGTTGGCTGCTTCCGCCCTGATTTTCCTGTGGTTTGGTGGACATCTCTGCCCGATGTCCCACTGGCTTCTAAAACTCACTTTCTGACTGCATGAAAGAAGGCGGTGGCTCTCTCCCTTACCTGTTTGTTTTCTTGGGTGACAGGATGGGTTGTGGGGTGAGCTAGGAGGACGAACATGGAAGGAAGGAACAGAGGAGAGAGATGGGATTTGTGCCATTGTAACGGTCGAATGATAGTCTGTGTTAGCTAGAAGACTCTGGCAGGGGCTGAGGAGACAATCAGACGTTGCCAGATTTTTTTCTTCTCACTATATTGTTTTTATTTTTTATTTTTTGGGTTTTTTTTGTTTTTTGAGTTGGAGTCTCACTCTGTCGTCCAGCCTGGAGTGCAGTGGCCGCTCCCGGCCACCGCAGCCTCGACCTGCTGGGCTCCGGCGATCCTTCCGCCTCAGCCTTCCGAGTAGCCGGAATTACAGGCATGCGCTACCACGCCCGGCTGATTTTTTGATTTATTGTAGAGATGAGGCCTCGCTGCCCAGGCGGGTCTCGAACCCGCGGGCTCAGGCAATCCACTCACCTCATCCTCCCAAAGGCGCGGGATTACAGGCTGAGCCACTGAGCCCGGCTTTTTTTTTTTTTTTTTTTTTTTGAGTTAGGGTCTTACTTTGTCGCCCAGCCTGGAGTGCAGTGGCACGCCCACAGCCACTGCAGCTCAACTCTCTGGGCTCAGAAGCCGGAAGTACAGGCACACACCACCACGCCCGGGTACTTTTCGGATTTATTTGTAGATACGAGATCTCAACAAGGTGCCCAGGCTAGTCTTGAACTCCTGAACTCAGGCCATCCTCTCGCCTCAGCCTCCCAAAGTGCTGGGATTATAGGCTTGAGCCACCGCACCTGGCCCCATTTCATTATGTCAAAAAGAAATTCCATGCCTTTTAGCTATCACCTCACCACTCATTCTTCCAGCCCTAGGCAACCACAAATCGGCTTTCTGTCTCCAGAATTTTCCTACTCCTGACATTTCACGTAAATGGACTCATACATGTGGTCTTTCATAAGTGGCTTCTTTCACTCAGCGAAATGTTTCCAGGGTTCATGCATATGTTAGAGCACGTATGAGCACTCCATTCCTTTTTTATGACCCAATCTCATTCCATCGTATGCATAGACCACCTTCTGTTTTTCATTCCTCCTCAGTGGACCTTTGGGCTGTTTTTACTCTTTGGCTGTCATGAATAATGCTGCAGTGACTGTTCATTTGTAAGTGTTTTTTGTTTTTTTTTTTTGAGTTGGAGTCTCACTCTGTCGCCCAGACTGGAGTGCAGTGGCCACTCCTGGCCACCGCCGCCTCGACCTGCTGGGCTCCGGCGATCCTTCCGCCTCAGCCTTCCAAGTGGCCGGAATTACAGGCATGCGCTACCACGCCCGACTGATTTTTTTTATTTATTGTAGAGATGAGGTCTCGCTGCCCAGGTGGGTCTCGAACCCGCGGGCTCAGGCAATCCACTCACCTCGGCCTCCCAAAGTGCTGGGATTACAGGCTGAGCCACCGAGCCCGGCCATTTGTAAGTGTTTTATGCGGACATATTTTCATTTTTCTCTGATATTATATATATATATGCGGAATTGCAGAGTCCGATGGTACTTTACATTTAAGTTTTGGGGAGCTGCCAGACTGTACCAAAGGGGCCATACCGTTTTCCGTTCCCACCAGCAGTCTGAGGTTTCCCATTTCACCACATCCTTGCCATCCGTATGATCTGACTTTCTGATTCTGGCCATCCAAGCAAGTGTGACGTGTGAGGTCATGTGGTTTTATTTTTCACTTCTCTGATGCCTGATGTCAATCATCTTCTCATGTGATTTTGGGCCATCTGTATATTTTCTTTGAAGAAATGTCTGTTCGGATCCTTTCTCTATTTTTAACGTAGGTTATTTGACTTTTTTATTATTGAGCTGCAAGAGCTCTTTCTACCTTCTAGATAAAAGTCTCTCATCAGATAGGTGATTTGCAAATATTTTCTGCCATGCTGTTGGTTATTTTTCACTCTTTTGATGGCGCCCTTTAAAGTAGACATTTTAGGCTGGGCTTGGTGGCTCAGCCTGTAATCTCAGCACTTTGGGAGGCCGAGGTGAGTGAATTGCCTGAGCCCATGGGTTCAAGACCCACCCGGGCAACTTGGTGAGACCTCGTCTCTACAATAAATCAAAAGTTAGCTGGGTGTGGTAGCACGCACCTGTAGTTCTGGCTACTTGGAAGGTTGAGGCGGAAGGCTCGCTGGAGCCCAGCAGGTTGAGGCTGCGGTGGCTGTGAGCGTGCCACTGCACTCCCGTCGGGGCGACAGAGTGAGACTCCAACTCAAAAAAAGTAAATAAATTAAATAAATAAAGTAAATGTTTTTAATTTTTGATAAATCCAGTTTATCTATTTTTTCTTTTTTTGCTCATGCTTCTGGTATCATATCTGAGAATGTTGCCAAATTCAAGACCATGATGACTGACCTCTGTGTTTTCTTTTTTTTAAATCTCAAATATATTTTTATTTTCGCTTGTTGAATTGACTTATGCTTCACTCTCTGCACATGGAAACATTTTTTTAACACTTTTTATTTAGAAGATGTGGGGTACAATTCAGAGTTAGGTATACAGATGTTCATTATGCAGGTACCCTTGCTGATGAGGTAGGTGTGCCCTCCCTTCCCTCCGGCAGTTTCCAACTACTGCCAATCCCTTTCTTATAATATTATAATGTCATTCAAGGTCCACTTATGAGTGATCTATGGTTTTTTTTCCTTTCTTTTCTTTTCTTTTTTTTTTTGAGTTGGCGTCTCACTCTGTTGCCCAGGCTGGAGTGCAGTGGCACGCTCATGGCCATCCCAGTGTTGACCTGCTGGGCTCCAACGATCCTTCTGCCTCAGCCTTCTGAGTAGCTGGAACTACAGGCACGCGCTACCACACCTGGCTAATTTTTCGGTTTATTTATTTATTTTATTTTTATTTTTTTGAGTTGGAGTCTCACTCTGTCACCCAGACTAGAGTGCAGTGGCACGCTCACGGCCACCTCAGCCTCGACCTGCTGGGGTCCGCCGATCCTTCCACCTCAAACTTCCGAGTAGCCAGAACTACAGGCACACATTACCATGCCTGGCTAATGTTTTTGATTTATTGTAGAGACGAGGTCTCGCCAAGTTGCCCAGGCGGGTGTCAAACTCGCAGGCTCAGGCAATCCACTCACCTCGGCCTCCCAAAGTGCTGGGATGACAGGCTGAGCCATTGAACCCGGCCGATTTTTTTATTTATTGTAGAGACGAGGTCTTGCCAATTTCCCCGGGCTGGTCTCAAACTTCTGGGCTCGAGCAGTCCTCCTGCCTTGGCCTTCCAAAGTGCCAGGATTACAGGCGTGAGCCTCTGCGCCCCACCTCGTCTGCTTTGTAATCGTTTTAGCCAGAGGTCAGGGTCCTGTCTATAAATTGATCTCAGGAGTGGGGCGGTCCTTTATGGGTGTCTCTGCCTACACAAGAGGTTTCCTTTCTCGTTGTCGCCTTCCCTTCCTGCCTGCTGGCATCATTTGTCTCTCGTTTTACCTCTTCCTGGCCGGCCTCCGGTGTTGGCGCCTGTAAGCTCCTCCTTCGGTCTGCGTGTGGCAAGGGAAATGAGGATGCATCGCCCGCTTTCCTGCTTCCATCTCTTCCGACACCGCGTCGCTCTCTGTGGACCAGGAGTGGCCCGCCCCCTCCATCTCTGCTTTGTTTTCACCCCCAGGAGCTCCTGCACTATTTAATTGGCACCCTGCTCCTGCTGGTCGCCTCCGTCGTGGCAGCCTTCAAGAGCTACAACCTGAGTGGATTGGTCGCAGGAGCGGTGAGGATGTTCTCGGGCCTTTGGGAATGGATTCCTGTTAAACGTGCTCATTTTCTTTCTGATGGGGGTTGGCTTCGGGCCCCTTCCTTCCTTCCTTCAGAGTTTCGCTCTGTCACCCAGGCTGCAGTGCAGTGGCATGACCATGGCTCACTGCAGCCTCGACCTCCTGGGCTCAGGCAGTCCTTCCACCTCAGCCTTCCAAGTAGCTGGAGCTATAGGTGTGCGCCACCACGCTCAGCTAATTTTTTTTGACTGATTGGAGAGTTGAGGGCTCACCATGTTGCCCAGGTTGGTCTCAAGCCCTTGGGCTCAGGCAGTCCTCTCATCTTGGCCTCCCAAAGTGCTGGGATTACAGGCATGTGCCACCATGCCGGCCACTTTCTTCCACAGACTCAGTAGCTACTTTGATGCAGTCGGCAGCTATCTCCAAAGAGCCTTAAGGTTCTCTTTTTTTTTTGAGTTGGAGCCTCACTCTGTCGCCCAGACTGGAGTGCAGTGGCCGCTCCCGGCCACCGCAGCCTCGACCTGCTTGGCTCCGGCCATCCTTCCGCCTCAGCCTTCCAAGTAGCTGGAACTACAGGCACGCGCTACCACGCCCAGCTAATTTTTGACTTGTGTAGAGATGAGGGCTTGCCAAGTTGCCCAAGCGGGTCTCGAATCCGCGGGCTCAGGCAATCCACTCACCTCAGCCTCCCAAGGCGCAGGATTACAGGCTGAGCCACCGAACCTGGCCGTGCTATAAGGTTCTTAAGTAAAACCCCAACTCAGCCGGCAGCAGAAGGTCTCAGAAGGTGGATTGTCAGGGCTCTTGGAAAATTCTAGTGGTCCCGACAGCCCAGGCCGTTCTCTCTCACAGCCTCTACTTAAATCGGGGGCAGATGGGTTTTAATTCACATGCCCACTGACCTTTTGTTTGTGGGTGCCCCAGCACTAAGCAACAAAGACTTGGGGGCCTCCTTTGGAACTAGAGGCAAGGGTGCTGTAATCAATTAGTGTTATCTGCCATGAGCCCTCCCTTTGCCATTCATGATTTTTAATAGTATTCAGGCCAGGAAATGCCACCCTTGTAACTTTCAGAGGTGGAAATTGATCCATCTAATAGCCATACATAGAAGTAGTTGGAAATCTATAAAAATACAGTGCTGTGGGGGATACATACATATGTGTGTGTGTGTGTGTATAACATATAGATATACGTATGTATGTAGTATTATTATTATTATTTTTTGAGTTGGAGTCTCACTCTGTTGCCCAGGTTGGAGTGCAGTGGCACACTCATGGCTACCCCAGCATCGACCTGGTGGGCTCCAGCGATCCTTCTGCCTCAGCCTTCC